AAATTTAAAAAATTAGTAATGAATGAAAGAAAATTACTCGATTATTATAAAAAAAATGAAAGGTGAAAATGGCCCTCACAACAATAAGTTTGAGTTTTTTTTTGTATACTTGTTTTAATAATCTACAAGGATACTTTTATACTCTTATTAAGCCTTCTTAGTTTCTTAAAATTAGTAAATAATGTTGAGACTAATAAAATGAGAAGGGGAAAAAAAATACTGTATACGTTGAATTCCGTTTTATATAGGAAATAAATGAAACAATTTAACAATTTATCTTACATTTTCGACAAAAAAAATTGGTTTCCGTTTATATTTACATAAATATGTATGCGATTCGTACAGGTGTAAATTAAATATGATCTAGTAACGTAACCATAATTGTAGCAAGCAAAAATATTATTGTTAATTAATGTCTACTTAAACATTGCTTGTTCTTGCTTCATTTCGATACTTCCTATGTGCTGCTCTTGGTATGAATGATGCAATGTGATATTACGAATTAATATAAATAGAATGCTATCTACAAAAATTCACAATATCCAGTCAATTCTTATCGGTGGTTGATTAGTTGATCTTTGTTATAATTACATGGAACCGTTTTATTATTTGGATGGTAATAATTATCAAATACACAATAAAATTTTCAAAGATACTGTCAAGTCGAAAGACAAGAAAAAACTGGAAATTGTAGTAAAAAATTTAACATTAAAGTCAAAAAAAGTAAAATAATTTCGCATATTATTACACAAAATTACTAATTACATTTAACTTCTTATATTCTAAGTTACAAATACAGTACAGTGATAGGTATTTGCTGGAAATTATATAAACTCCTCAGGCTCTCTAGGGGCGTCCAAGTCTCTGTAATGAATTACCGGTCTAAAGTCACTTCCAGCGCCTCCACCCCTGCGTATCAAGCACAATACCGTGGTTAGAAATTTATTTTCATCAGAGTTAAATAAAATAGAATTAGTATTATTTTCATGCAATCATAACTTTGCAAATTTTCATATTTATCGTTTTGTTAACGAGTTTTACAAAACAATAAAAAAAAAAATATCACGCAAAGCGACGTAAAATCAATAAAGTACAAACCTGGCTCTTGGAGGCATGTAAGGCCTAGGACGCCCATATCCTTGATTGTAATATCTAGGTCCAAATCCATAAGAAGTTCCATAATTTCTTAAAATTAAAAAACAAAAATTATATGTATTTTATAAATAATACAATTAACTAACGGTGGATGACTGAAAGGGGGTGTCTCGTCTTTCCTAGGTTGCGGCATTTCCAGCATAGGACGTTTCACATCCTTCAAATAGTTATTGAAAAATTCGACCTCCTTTTTCACTTCCTCTATTTTTTCTGCATGTTTGTTGAAAATGTGTTTGCGCACGAAATCTGGCCCTGTGTAACAAATTAAACGAAAATTAATTATAGACATTATCATTATATTAATTAAATGCATTTATCATTTCTATCTTAGGATAACACGTATATATATACCTTTGAATTTTTTTCCTGATAAAGGACAGAGCCACTTGTCTTTGGCCAATTCTCTGGTATTCGCTTGTACAAATTTGTCAATTTCAGTGTCCACGTCTTTAAGAGCCATGCTGATCAATTTGACTTCGTTTTTATTTTCAGTGTTTCCTGGTTTTTCTGGTAAGAATTGTGTCATCTTTGCTTCCACAGCAGCACCAATGAACTGAGTTATATCAGTCTGAAAATAAAAATTGATTATTAAATATTGATATTGAATTAGTAAGAATATTTTCATCAAGATTAAAATTGTTACAAAACACTGGTCAGATTATGCCAATACTTTCAATAATTTGAAACATGAACATGAATTAATACAGAAAATTAACATTTAATTTGATGAAATAATCGATGCACGTAGAACAAAACTGTATTAAAATTCTATCGATACTGAACCAAAAAACAAGTGCTTAAAACTATTTCGATGGATATAGCAATAAAGAAAAATATTTCTTACTTTTGCAGTTGGAGGAGGACCCCTGGCGTGTAGGATTCCGCAACGGTTAGGCATTTCGTCTTCATTAGGATACTCACAATGGTTATAATAATCAACAGAATGAACTACACGTAAGTACAAGATGATTCTATCTAATACGGTGATAAGCGAATCATCTCGATCGACAGTTGTGGCAGCATCCTGGGGATCAGAACTGGGATCTAATCCAAGGAGTTCTTCTTCTTCTGCGCTCGCCTCTTCTATCAGATAATCGGTTATGTTGTGCAAAACTGGATTGTTTGAGACCAATCCAAACGTCTGAAATAAATAAAATATCACCTTTAGAAAACTTGTTTGTTAAAATTTATGAACGTTAAAGTACTTGTTGCGGTTTTTCTCCGGATTCATTTTCTTGCCAGAGCCCGGCTTTAGTGTCCAAATGTAAAGTAACTTTTGCCGAAATTCTGATGTCTGATCGAACAACTTGTTTGTGAGCAGTGATGCCGTTTACAGGACGTATGCGACGACTCAAGTCACGATTCACAATTGCTCCCAATTCGCAATCCCTCAGACGAATATT